CCCCCCCCCCACTAGAATAATTTCCCGACAGCGCCAAATTTTTTTCTTTTTCAGGTAAGAAGAGCGACATCGACCTCGTTGTTTCAGTTTTTCCCCTTTATCATGTTCTTGCCTTTCGACATGGCCGGAGTAAAGGATCTCATTACTTTGTTTAAAGAATCTCGTGATTTTACGTAAGTATGATGAGAGTCATTTACCTTACTTACTTTACCTCACTATTAAACACTGACAATCAGGAAACGACAAATGCCTTTTTTTTTTTGGGGGGGGGGACACCTGAATATACATAAAGGTCTTGAACATCTAGCTGTCACTGGCCCAGAGCAGCCTTCCTGGGGAAACCGAACATATGGGTAACAGAGAAAGATCAGGGAAACGTGGCTTTAAGAGCGTCTGAGCAAAGGAATGAATGGAGAACCAGGATCGCCGATGTCTGTCGCAGATCTGGTCCTGGATGAAGATGACTTGCTTTACTTTATCCTTCCTCTTGTACCATCCGGGGTATAGAGGCGAGAGCGAGCGTTCGGTCTCTTGCAAGCTGGTTGACCTGGCTGGTTGGGACGTTGTGGGTCTTCAAGGTATCCTTCACACCCTCGATACAGATCTTCTTTCTTTGTCTTCCTCTTGCCTTGAAACTAGAGCTGGGCGAAGGATCGATTCCGGAACCGATTTCCACGATTAATGCTAGCTACGGAAGAAAAGTTCCAACTCCTCTTTACATAAACCAACGATAACCAGTTACTTTAATCATAATTTTTAAAAAACAACATATTTTCGAAAAATAAAAGTTGATACTTCGGAGTGTTCCTAAATCAGAGTTATCCTAAATCCTGAAGGTGTTTGAAGCCAGCCAGGTAACCACCGGAAGAAATTACATCTTTAGAAAATAAGTAATTGGGTTTGGAGTCGATTCCTACGATTCCTAGCTTTCAATAATCAAGAACCTAGCCGTCCAGCACTACTTGAAACCCTGATATCCTGTTGTTGTACGCCTTATTGGCAAGCTGGTGAGGTGCCATTCGTGTCAGGTGTCCAGATCACCTGATTGTTTGCCTCTGAATGTAGAGGAGACAGGTGTTTGTTCCCACCATTTCTCTGATTTTAGTGTTTCTTATCATGTCGCATTTAGTTTTGATAACGGCTCTCCTCAGACATTTCATCTCTCGAAAAATCCACCAGTTCTCACCATCTAGATATGTGTGAACACCGGCTTCCTTTTCGTTCTCCATGTCTCGTCTTGCGTTCCAGACTTTTGGTCAAGGTCCATGTCTGGCACTGGTAGGTCAAGGTTGGGATAAAGATAGAGTCAATGAGCTTGGCTTTGTTTTTAATGAGGATGCTAGGATGTCTTGAGGAGTGGGACAAGCTTGTAGCTGACATCTGTCTTCCGAGAAGATGAGCCACTGGAAAATCCGTGTTGTCCCCTCTCCTCCTATCTATCTATCCATCTATCTATCTATCCATTTATCCATCTATCTATCTATCTGTCTGTCTGTCAGTCTGTCTGTCTGTCTGTCTGTCTGTCTGTCTG